CCCGCCAGTGTCGTAGGCAAGGAGGCCATTGTGTTTGGCAATCTGGCAGAGATTTGCGATTTCCACGAGAAGGTATTTGAGCCGGAGCTCTGCAAGTACGCCGGTGGCGGCGATTTCCTGCCTGAAGACGTGGGTCACTGTTTTGTCAGCCACGGCGACCGGCTGGCGGAACTGTACGTGGACTACTGCGTCAACAAGGTGGACTCCACACAGATTCTGATCGAGGACACGGACAACTTCTTCCAGCGTCTCCAAGTAAGTTGTTGGCGCACAATATACTTACCCCCCCCCCAAGTCGGTGTTTTGCTTTCTCTGCCTCTACCACAGCTTTCGATTCCAATTTGTTAGGCGAAGTAACACGTTTTCTTACACACATAGTCGACTTGGTTAGGTTGGCAGGAACTTTTGACTGCTCGATTTCACCGTGGACACACGAACTACTCATGGCCTAGTTTCCACTGACCGTGCGTCTCCATTGTAGCCATTTTCCTTCTGATCTGTTTCCTGGAACTCGCGTCTTCGCTCTTAGCACAGATCGTAGTCATTTTGTATTTGCACGGTTTTCAAACCAATTGCAGTATAGTACTGAGATAAAGTTATGGCAATATAAGTTGCGCCATGGTTATTGCATTTCTTGCTAGCACACCTGTATCTTGGGTGACTACTCATAATAATAGTGGATCAAAGCATCGAAATTTTCATTATTTGTAGTTCTTATCATATGCGGCTCGCCTGACAAACTTCGAACGAGTCCATCTACTGCTGAGGAAGTTTTTATTTATTCTTCAATTCGCACTTTATGCGGTTTATCATGACGATTTATTCGTCATCTCCGTAAATTTGGGCTTGCTCATGTTCTGCTCACAATTTTTAATAACTTCTGGTTCATGTCCTTCCATTTCATGGCTGCATACAAGGACAGTAGCCCAGCCTGAATGTCGCAAACGTCCATCCTCTTGGGCTTTTTCTCAGCTAGCCTTATCTCAGTAAGTCAAGTCAGACGAACGCACGTTTCCGATCATTCATCATCAGGCAATTACAGTAAGATAAGAGAGTCTAGAGGTTATATTTGTCGAACAACTAGGCGGCTATCCAAACGCATGCGAGAACATTATCCTGCTTGACTAAACCGAGTTCTAGTAAAGTCCATATCCAGAGCGATTTTGCTTGACAGCGGTCACAGGGTAGACGTCAACCAAGCGCTCCGAATCATTTATAAAGTGTCGACGATGTATGCGATGGCAGAGGGAGTCGCCGTACGGCCAACTCATCCAATTGTGTGAGCGCAAGCGTTTGTACAGGCACTAAGGCTCCCTTGGCCGAAGACCAGCTCAACATGCGTCCGCATGCCTACCACGACACGAAAGTGACGACGGGCGACGTGAACTAATTGTCGGCCACCTTACCCCCCTCTGGCCCCTTGTTATGCCTAGAATCGGACCCATTGATCCCTACACACCATTTGTTGACTGGTAGCTTACACTTTTGTCCGCTCTACCTCCCCTTATACGATTGTAACTGCCTGATGACAAATAACGTACACTCGCTTACCTTGGCTTCCCAAATGCTTGCATGGGTATTATGGCTGGACTGAAAGTTAATACTTTTGCCTTGGTTGCATTTTTGCATGGTCGACCACTAGGATGATGAACCTCGTAGTATGCTGTACCCTGCCTAAATAACGCAACTTCACATAAATGACTGTGATTGGGTTTATAGAGGATGGTCTAGCCACGCGTCTACATTAGGCAATGCAGCCCAGCTAGGACACACTGCTGTCACGTAAATCTGTTTTTCACTTCTCTTATCTGTTCGCTTGTCCTCTTCCCTGACCCACAGATCCACTATGACCTAGCTGAGCCGCTCCAGTCCTTCCTCATAAAGCCGGTGCAGCGCATTACTAAGTACCAACTGATTCTACGCGAACTGCGCGACTGTTGTGACAAATCTAGCGCAGGCGAACTCCACGAGGGTCTGGAGGTGATGCTGGCTGTTCCCAAGAAGGCTAACGAGGCCATCCATTTGCGCATGCTTCAGGTTCGTCACGCCATCTTCTGCCTTCCTGCACTTGCCTTTTACTTTAAAATTTACATGAATAGCGGTTGAATACCCCTGCTGTTCACGGCACTCATATTTTACGGCCTAATTACAAACCTCGCAGGAACACGTTGGTAGGAGAGAGAGACGGTGGAGGAGACCGATTCTCCCTGCTTATAAATATGCAGCTACCCCCCTCCACTCCCACGATGCCCCCATGCGCCCCACAGCGTGATGGTGAAGGGACGACGGCCTAGCCGTGGTTGTAGACTTGCGTTTAATTTACAGCACTCTCTTTCCTGATCCGCCCAAGCCTG